TATATATATATATATATATATAGTTGTTTTTTGCTTACGTCTTTCATCCTAATCACTCAGGAGGGAAAGTCATTGTGTCATGCTGTGCACAGACACAGGCGGCCACTGATGATGGGAGGCGAAAAAAAAACACCACAAGAAGACTGTCAGAGAAGAAAAACAACCTAAAAGCAACAATTTCCCAGAACGACATGAAAACGAGTGGATGATAAAGAAAGTTTGACAGATGCCCAATAGGAAAAAAAAGGTTTCCTTCAAAGAGCTAAAAGCATTTATGCTTTGATAACACTCTTATCCAGGCTTACAGACTGTATGAAAGCATATCTGGAATAATTTTGTTACGCTTTGCAGTTGGTTGTAGTTAACCTAAGAGGGGAAACAATAAATCATGCAGATCAAACCTGACAGCCCTGGGAGCCAATTTGAGAAATAAGTCTGCTGGTCATCAGATCTGAATCGTTCATATGAATCTGGACATGACCAACTCAAACCAGCCCAGTTCATAGCAGCTCCTCCTCAGCCTTTGTGGTAAAAGCAAAACGAGTGTTTCTCCATCCTGAACATGAGGCCTTTCCCACTACTGCTGAGAATTGCTCTGATTACTGCCCTGCTCTCCTTTCTTGGTTAGAGAGGAAAATAGTGGCAGAATGTCTAAAATGTGTTTGCTTGCATTTGATCCAAATCTGATATCCCTTCATATTAGCCAGATTTAAGGTCTTGCTTCTCACCAACAAAGCCTCTAAACTCTCTGGTGCCTTCCTATGTGCCCGATGTTTTGCAGCTGCATGTTCTACCGTGTGCTTTCTGATCTCAGGACACTGGTCTTATAAAATGTCCTACAGCTAGAAGAAAAACTGTTGCATTTTACTTCTTATGCTGATTTTACTGATTATGTTGCATCTTGCTTTTGTTTTAAATCAATGTTTTATTCTTCTATCTTCTAGTAACTTTTCAGCACTTTGTTTGAAAGCACTTTAATAAATAAATTTATCATTGACTTGTTCACATTTACAAAGTTGTTTGCCTCAATCAAGAACTCGGAAGCACATTTATTTTACCTTTCATGCTCAAGATTTGCTACACATAATATAAAACTAACTCAACTTTCAAGTTTATAAGTGTCCTTAGAAAATAAGAAAAAACTGTAATGATTCAAGACCAGAACTGTTGGGTTGGAATTTGCAAAAAAACTTGTTAATTCATTTAGATCATACAAAGCCTGATTAGTGCTTGTATACTCTATGAGGTCAAACAGTGTGAAGGTGCTTTGCCTCTGGGTTTCTTTTACCTGACTCGGCTGTCGAGCCACAGCCCCGTGAACAGGAGTGTGAGGAACCGAAACCACGATCTGGTCCAGATTCTGACCCTGAGGCTAAGAAATGGAAGAGATAAAGATGAAGATCTTTAACAATTTGTTCTTATTGCTTTGAAATTCATGCTCTTAAAAAGAACAAAAAAAAAAAGATCCAACCTGCTGAGGCAGGAGTCCTGCAGGACCGGGGAAGCGCCTCGTCCTGGGCTGGTGAGCCTCAGAGCAACGCCTCTTCTTGGGCAGCTTGCTGGATGCAGACACCAGCTGGACCAGGCGATTGGTGAGGACCGGCGTGTGCATGGGATGGGGGCTCAAAGCGGAGGCGTTCGCTGAAGGGGCTGGTGCTGGGGAGACAGTATTAAAGAGGCTGCGAGCCTGAGAGGACGCTTGTGGAGTAGCCAAAGGATTCTGCAGACGAGTATAGCTGAAAGAGCTGCTGGGTGCTGGGGAGGTCGCAGCCAGGCAAACAGCAGGACTCCGTGGAGGAACAGCAGGGAAAGTAGGACAGGAACTTGGAGATCGAATATGTGTAGCAGAGAGGCTTTGGGAAGGTGCTTTATAACTAGAGCAGTTTGGAGTCTGAGATGTAACACTTGTCCCCCGTAGGCTCTTATTAGGAGGCTTCTGGCTGCTTACATAGGTGGAAGGTCTCAATGTCTTTACTGATGACGGAGGCTCGGCTGCTACAGGCTTCGACTGAAGCATCGTTTGGTTGTCACATTCATCTAAGTCAGCCAGGTCGACATCCCAATCATCAAAATCATCCTGAGGCGCACAGGGAGTCCTCGGCCCCTCGGTGTGGGCCAGACTCTGTAGAGGCATACAGTTGGAAAGGAGAGGGGAGGCAGGCGTAGTGGAGGAGGAAGAGATCTGCCTCAAACCCAAAGCAACAGTTTGTGCAGCACCACTGCCCCTTGACACCATGCCATTGCACAGTCCAGCCGGTTTCTCTCCCGTTGGCTTGTGGCATATTTTCTCCTGTTCTCTGTGAGCAACAGAGGAAGCCCGCAGGGTGCATGATGGCACAGCAGCTGCCATGTTGGCTGATCCTGGGACTGGGCAGGCGCTCCAGTCTGTCCCCAGTACATCCTGGGACAAAAAGAAACAGAGATAAACAGATGACAGAACAGGAGGAGGGAGGCCAGGTGAAATCAGGTGTTACCTCATCGTCAAAGTCCTCATCCAGGCTAAACAGGCCACTCAGTTTGCAGGTCTGTAATAAAGACAACAGTCTTTTACATAAAAAAAAAAACTAATACAACTTTAACAGACTTAAAAAGTCGCCATACACCAGCAGCTGTTAGCTCAGTTAGCTGTTCCATTTTTTAGCAGTAACTTACCATCGCAGTCATGGAATATCACGATGAAAGCAGAGTCTGTTTAGTTCAGATAAACACACCAAAGTCAAATCGAGTGCCATTCAATAACTGACAGTGAATAAAACCGTTTGTTTTTTATCTGAAAACTTCCTCATAAGTCGATAAACGGCGACCAAACCCTGCATAAGTTTTCAAGGACCTATCGCTGCTTGGGACCGCGCCGACACGTTCAAAGCCGACATGCTGACGTGATGACGTCACCACGCGTGGAGTTGGCGTCAAGTCAAGAGCGTTCCCTGCTCGTCAGGGTGGCGTCGCTCAACTAATACAAGAGGCACTCTCTTTTCCTACGCTGAATCCAAGAGTACATGACAACGTGTGGAAAAAAAAAGATTTAAACACTTTGCTTTCCTAAAAAATTAGCGATTTTATTCCCAGGGATTTTATTATAAATAATAAAATAAAAAATAATAAAATAAATAGCATAATATATATGTTTCTGCTCAGTTTGTATGAACATAAGGTGGAGAAAACCGAAGCAATTATTCCTTCATTTAAAGACATCTTTTTTTTCTTAACTTCGAACAATAAATCACACTGATACTGCTTTTATCCGTTCTTTAATCCATTTATAGACCGATTTAAATAAACAAATAATTTAAAGAATACAAATATATCATTAAAAACAAATTTTTCCAAATCCATTAAAATGTCTCAACATTTCTCTGGAGGTAAAGGTTGGGCTAACACTGCCATCTAGTGGTCAGGTCTCAAACTGCGAGTATCAGTTTGCATTCTGATCTAAAAATATCACAAGTAGAACTTATTTGAGCAGTTATCCTGTGGCTATGTGCACAAATGAAGGGCGTTTGATTCAGAAGTTTATTCGTATAAGTTCAACTTAGAAGAGAAATGGGTCCAGGTTCTTTAATTGGCTTCAAACCAGTTTAAATTCCATTGAAACTCAGGGCACTTCCAGTGACGGGTAAGTAAAAGCTGTTTGTTGATATTCATATAAGCAGCACTGTTCATTGCTTAAAGGCAAGATGTTTAAGTGGAGTTAATAATTGAAAATATAAGCATTATTAATGATCGGTATGAGTGCCAAGCTTTTACACAGATCTTTGCTTTTATGGGAATGACTGCAGGGTGTTATGTCCAAGGACACATTTCCATTCTCCTCTACCTCCCTACGCTCTCTGAGACTGGAACAGGAGCTTCAGGATTGGGAGGATGAACGGAGAGCCTTGGCTAATAGGAGGGCGATGATCAGGCCCCCACTGCCTCTGCCACCCAGACTCCCTCCAAGGCAGCAGTGGCTCCAGGAGGTCAGAGCCCCTCCACCCCAGATCCGCTGCAGAGACACAAGCATCCATAACACCTTTATGTATGGGGACATAAAGGGGGTTTACGCTGTGCTGAAGGACCCTGGGATGGTTAATGCCCTGATGGAGACAGTGCATGAAGAGATGGTGTGGGCTCCAGAAATGGGTATGCCTTCAGAAGCTTTGGTATATAGTTTGAATGGGAGTTAGTATTGTCAGTAACTTTGAACATCTTCTCTCTCAGGTATGTGGACACTGAGCTCCAAGGTGAAACAAACATCGGCCTTACGCCTGGCTGCCAGCCGGGGACACACAGCATGTGTGGAGGAGCTGCTGTTTCGTGGAGCTGAGGTGAACACCGACCCCGGAGGCAACACTGCACTCCATGATGCCTGCATAGGCGGCCACTCTGTCTGTGTCCAGCTGCTTCTCTCCCATGGAGCAGATCCAGATGTGCTGGCAGCAGATGGTAGTGCTCCCCTTCACCTCTGTACCTCTGCCCAGTCATTCCAGTAGGTGGTCAAGCTGTTTATACCGAAAATCTTAGTTTAACCCATTTTCCCAAAGTGGTCAGTACAGATAATGGAAGATGTCAATCAAGGAATGATGTTACATATACAGAAAAGAAGGTTTTTAAGTTATCTGAAAACTTGACATATTTACATGAGTGCCTACACTTTTATAAAAATTGAAAAAGTTCTAAAACCACAGAAAAATAAAATCCAAATTGGTTATCAACACAAAATAAATTGAGAAAAGCTCTAATCAAGTGGTAACCTGTGATTGTTTTCAAGATGTGCTAAGCTGCTTTTAGAGGGAGGCGCAGACATCAATGTGAGAAGCAGGGAGTCGAGGCTCACACCTCTGCATGTGGCTGCTCAGAGGGGCCTGGAGGAGCACCTGGAGCTCTTTCTAAGCCTTGGAGCGGATGTTTTGGCCACTAACCGAGAGGGGGAGACGCCCCTGAATGCTGCGTGCTCTGGAGCCGAGAGGCCGTCTGAAGCTGGGAGGTACCTGCGTGTGATCCAGAAGCTGCTGGATGCAGGAGCTAATCCTCAAACTGCAGGCAGGAAGCAACACACCCCACTGCACAATGCCTGTGCAAACTGTTGCCCGAGGATTGTAGATGTCCTCCTGGAGCACGGAGCTAAGGCTGATGTTGAGAACTGTGCAGGTTACACACCAATGGACTGTTTGCTCCAGGTACTAGATGTTCTGAATTACAAAAATTACAAAACCAATATTATTATTAATAAAGAGAGCACTATATAAGGCTTTTCATTTTTTTTTGTATTTGTTTTATTTTGAGATTGTGGAAGATTACCCGGTGCAGCAGTGTGAGGCGATAGCAAGATCCCTTCTAAACTATGGAGCCAAACCTGTTTCACCAAAGGTTCAACCAACACTAAGATTATGTACACACACTAAAAAAACAACACCTGTTTTGTTTTGTTTTTCAAAGTTAGATATTGATTTCTTAAAAGTTTTTAGTTACCCTTTGTTTTTTTTATTTTTGCTTTTTTTTATTTTAGATCTTGCTGCTAAGGCGCCCAACAATTCTGTAATCTTTAGAGGTGGTTTTGGTTGACAGTTCTTCAAGATTTCCTAGAGTCTGTCAGTCTTCAACTTCCGTTACTGCTCTTAAAGATATAGTGAAGGAATTTAGGGAATTTTTTGAAAGACCTGCCCTCTGCACTGTAGAAAAAAATGCACATGCACAACCCTGTACCCGCTCCCGAGAGGGACCGCCTATTAAATGCGCGCCAGAGCATGCACCACCCTATTTCTCCTTGTACATGCTCTGTTTGTTACTACATTTAGCTCCTTAATGCAACCCCTCTAGAAACTAGCAGCAAATCTAACACATTTTTTCATGTGTTCACGCCAAGACTTTGGCGTGAACACATAGAGAACTGATCAGTCTGAGTTGATTGTTTTTTGCAAACAGACAACAAGCCCCTAGCTCCTCCAAAATACAGGGACTTAAATGCAGCAGCTGCAGCCTGTTTTTGCAGTCAGTGAGCAGAGCGACTTTCCTTTTTCCCCATTTAACGAGTCGCACATATGCACTCAGCTTCCACTGATCCCCCTGAATTAAAATCAGAATGCAAATATAATATTTAGTGCATTTTTCTCTTTTAAACTGTTCCATTCAGAAAGAATAGGGTGTGGTTGTGGTTTTTCTAGCTGACACACCCCCAGCATCTCAGAGCAGAGACGCTGGGGGACTGGGGGAGTGATATTTTTTCATTACTTTTGAGACCTAATTTTATATGTTTAATTATGTTTTACATCATTTAAATTTGGATGAGTGATTAGTAAAAACTGTCTCTGTGCCTAAAAATGTTTTTAAAAGATTTAAAAAAAATTAGATTTTTACTTTAAGTTACAATTAACGGCCCAGTCTTTGTGCTGTGCATGAATAACAGACATAGTAGAACTTGTATCCAGGTGGACCTTATTAAAACCTAACAAGAAACTGAATAAATATGTTTTTACCCCAACTGGGGGATTTCTAGTGAGCTCTTATCCGAAAACCTTTTGATGAGAAGAAGTATGATGCATCTGTTGCTGTGCTAATGACTCAACTTTTATCGGTCTCAGATGCTGAAACAGCTGGCCTTCTATCCTGATGTTCTGGGGCTAATGCTGAACTCCTACACCTCCATCCCGCCCTGTGATTGGTTAGAATCCCTGCCTCCTGACAAGGTGAGCTCTCTGAGGTTTTAAATCCTCTCTCCTCTTGTCGTTTTTGCTCAGGGCTGTTATGTCTCTGTTTCTCCTCAAAGTTGCCCCAGGAGGACCTGCCGTTCTTCCTGTCAGTGCGCCAGTGGACGGGTCAGCCTCGATCCCTGCAGCATCTCTGTCGATGTGCTTTACGTCAGCATTTAGGAGCCCAGTGTCACTCAGCTGTCTGTAAGCTGGACATTCCTGCTTCAGTGAGAGATTATCTGCTATTGTGCAACAACAGGACACTGCAGTGAATGTTGATTCTTCACAGTAATTATGTACTTTTATGAAGCTTTTCAAAGTCTCAAAATCTTCAAAAATATATATATTTTTTAATTTTTAATTTAAACTGTGATATATTGTTTTAAAAGTCTTCACAGCCGATGGAGTTCAGCCTGATATATGTTACCTTTAAAATTACTTTTTCCTGTTCTGTCATAAGAAAAAAATGTTCACAAATAAAAATGTGAAAATGTTGCATGCATTGGAATTTAACCCTTTTTTACCATGGAGAAAATCAGACCCTGGAACAAATCAGAACCACGTCACACAGATGAATCCCACGCATGGAGCTGCAAGCATCCTTCCTCGACTAAAGCAGAAGAAGAGCTGGACTGTTGTGGTCAGAAGACTTCTTGTTAGATCAAACGTAATAATTCATTCTGTTTGGAAATCAAAGTCCCAAGTTATGAAGGAAAAGTAGAGAATCCCAGAATACTCATTGCTGGAAGTCTGGTATGAAATTCCCTCTGTCAGTGATGATCAATGGCACCATGTCATCTCCAGGTGATGGTCCACTGTCTTCTCTATCTACCAAGATTTTAAAATAACTTCATCCCTTCTGTTTAACTTTACAGAGATGCAAATTTTCCAGTAGGATCTGGTACCTGACAACCCTGCTGAACCTGGTTCATTAAACATGGTGTTACTGGTGTTAGTAATGACCCTTAACATGGAGATCATGGAGGATCTATTCCCCATCGAAGAAAGTTGAGCTCCATGAACAGTTCAGCAGGGCCACAGCTTATCATCTCTATACGCAATGACAGAAAAGAAGACCCCTCTGATTATTAAATGCATATAAAAAGCCTTTACATTACCTTTTTTTTTTTATTGATCTTAAAGTAATTCCCTGGAATAGAAATTTTGAGTCTTCATTATCTCCATCAATTCTCATCTAAATTCCATGGAACAGGACTTGAAATATTTAATTATCTTCTCAATGTACCTACAGCAATGGAGTATAAAGTTGTATGAGTGCTAAAATATATTAATCTTTAGTTGCGGTATTCTATTTTTCATATGTGGACCAACCTGTACATCTACTGTTATTTCCCTGCTTTGCATTTACTGGCTGATGTTATGATTCATCCTGAGAGATACCTGAACCTTTGTAGCAGCACTACCACTGTTGGTTTCTTGGGATAAATGATTTTCACCTTGATATTCATTAATAGACTGGAACAACATCAGCACCACTGTTGAGGAAACCTCAACCTATCCACATATTGATCCATCTTATATTCACTCCTGAACAAGATCTCACAGTGCTGAAAACTTCATGTGTATAAATGATATTCATAAAATGCAGTAGAACACTGAATTTTTAAAGGATTTGAAAATTCGCAATCTAATGCAAATGTGATGATTACAAGTGTGATACAGAGTCTGGATTTGTGACTTGATTAGAGTTTTAACAGTTCAACAGCTTTATTGGCAGTGGGGAAAAAACTGTTGCCAAACCTTCAGCTTATAGAGAGGAAAAGGCAATTAATGTAAGTGATCCAGAGTCTTCCTCAGGGTTTTCATACCACAGGCATGTGTATGCAGAAGCCTGTCATTTAGAATGTATATATACAGTATATATATATATATATATATATATATAGGACAGGAATGCACATCAAAATTAAAAAGCAGATATTACATCTTTCCATAACATCTTGTTCTTTACATGACCCAAGGGAGCTTACCGGTAATTGGTTTTACAAAAAGAGTAGGTTGAGTATGCAGGACAGAGTCAAGGAAAAAATGTAACATTTAAATCATACAATGAGAAATCTACCTTGAAAAGCGTTTTCTAATTGTACATTATACTTTGAATTAATATAGAGGAATTTGAAATTGTATTTATCTGTAATTATTGTATTTATATAAACCTGTAATTTAAAAATGTATTTTCAAATCCTATTTTATATGTATATTTAGTTATGCTGCTATAGGTTTAGGCTATTGGAGGACATATGGACCACTTCTCTTAATTCTGCTTTTTTCCAATCCCGCAGTGTTTGTTAGTTCAACTATTTCTGTGCTCTCTCTGCTTTTTCTCATAGTAGCTTAATCTGGTCTGTTCCTGTTAGGCTGTGGGACCATCCTGGAGAGAAATATCAGCTGTGGTCCTGCCATCAACACCTTAGATTATAGATGATAGATTTGGGCCTGTTTTTCAGTGCTTATTGCTGTTTCTCTCCCGACATAGCTATGGGCTTAGCTTTTACTAAATGTGTGTGCTTCCTTTTATCCTTTGCCATGAAAACTGTCTCAGACCATGTCTGCTAAACTGCTTCTTTCCCATACAGAGCCCCCTATGGAACTAGTTTACCTTTTACCTTTTCCAACATAAAAAGTATTTATAGATCAGAGCTTCTATGTTTGTTTTCTATGTCAGCTTGTGTCTTCTATGTCATTCATACTGAGTTCTTCTGCTATGATCTCAGCCCCGACAGCTTCTCTGATTACTCGCTTCATTCACCTGCTGTACCCTCCCCGCTCTCTAATATCATTTATCTTTTTCACCTGCTTCCTCTCCTATATATATATTTATATATATATATATATACGGTTGAGCCCAGCTATCAGGGTTTATTTGTGTCAGTTATTCATGTTTTTTTCATGAGTTTTAGTTAAGTTTCTGGTTCATGTCCTGACTCTGGAAGGCCAGTGGATTGAGAGGGTTTAACGTTTGTCTGCTGGTCGTGTCCTGGCTCTTCAATGAGCCCTCAGGTTTTGGCTCGGCGTGCAGGGGAGTTCCATTTTAATTCCTGTAAGCTTGGCTCCAAGGTGGAGACCAGCTTAAAGTTCTGCATTTATCCTGGAACCACATCTTGTTTATGTGTATCTATACCACTGAGTCCGCCTGACTTTATCTGTGTGTCTGTCTGGGCATGCCTCTGGACCCGTCTGAACCTGCCTTCATGCTCTGAGGATTCCTGGAAGCCTGGATCCCCCAGACTGGGATCGGCTTCCTGCATGTTCGCCGGGGCTGCAGCACCTGGGAGACTCTGAGCGGCGCATGCCGCATCTTGTTGGCAGCCCATCGGCTGGATCGTACCTCTTTAAAGGAAGATGGACTGAACTGTTAAACCAGGTAAGTGACTCACACTGATAATCATCTCCTGTAGATGATTGTGGTCACTTACCTGTGTTTCTCTCACATCCAGAATGCCAGTGATGGGTGGCGCCTCACCCCCCTGCAGCTGCTGCGGTCCGACTATCCTCAACAGCCTGCATTTCTGTTATGTTATTTTCTGTCATTAAATGTTTTGAAACAGTTTTTATAACATCAACTTGAGGTTTCTTTCTGTGAAAAGGGAGTTTTTATTCTCTACTGTTGCTGCATGGATGCTCTGTGAGAGGGATTGCTGTCAAGTTGATGAGTTGACCCAATCAGCAAGTGGTTCCGTTAAAACCTTGAACCAATCTGATCTTATGGAATTGTCTGTATTGAGCCTGTAGATTACATGTGGTGTGAATTCCCACCATATAAATAAACTGAATCGAATTGAATATTTAGAAACCATAAATCTAATTATAAATGCCTTTCCTAACCACTCATTTAAAAATGTAATTCCTTATTACATTTCTGTTTTCACCTTGCAATTTCAATTTCCATCTTAGCCATTGGACCTTTTTATACTACCCTCTACGTTTAGCCTTTTTTGTGACCCTTCTGGTCCCTGAGCACAGAAAATCAGTTAAACCAATTAGTTACTCCCCAGATTTAGCTAGCCAGCTTTCCAATTGGTCATTTTGTGAAGTATGTGATGCTGTATAATCAGAAAACAATTTTCAAGCTGGATTTCTAATTTTATTTAAATGTTAAAGTTGAAATATTTTTCTCTTTCGGTGACTCTCCTGGTCCACCATAGACTGAGACACTGGATTTCGTTTTAGAGACACTTAGGTTGATGTTTACAGAACTTTTCCATCTTGCTCTCCTGTAATGTCGTAAATCAAACGGTAGGAGGAGCAGGAGGCGTGTCCTGTTTCTATAACAACCGCTCCCACCTCCGACTGGTGACGTAACTGAGCTTGCACTGTGTTTATTCTGGGGTTTTTGAGCCGAAGCTGCTAACTAGAACCGAGCCTGGTGTTTTAAACATGCGTTGATTTTACAGTTGGCAGGTAAGAACAGCCGGGATACCGTTTATAAAGGACTTTTAAATGTTTGCTCGAAGCCTGCGCTCAATGTGAACTCTGTTGCGACAGAAGACAGCTAGCTCTGCGGCTCGTAAACAGCGGAAGGTCGTTTTCCATCAAGCTAGAAAGGCTAGCTGGTAAGCTAAGCAGCTAATGAGAGCAGAATGACAGTCTGACAAATAAACAGAATACATTTCTTAATTTTTAAAGCTTTAGAACAAATGCTTAGTGTTAATACGACATAAATAACGCGAGATACAACGTTGGCAGTCACTTAATGTTGCCTTTTTCGCTGCTGGGCTTTTTAAACGGAACTAACCACGTCCTTACTGACTTTTTAATCTGCAAAGTGATCCTAAAATAAATAACATCTACCAGAAAATATCTTGATCGGAACCGTGTGTTTGTGCTTTGAGGTAATCATGGAGTATACCTAAGCTTTAAAGAATGTCAGCAGAGAAGCTGGTTTTTCCGGTTTCTTTCGTCACTTAAACGCATCACAGTTTCTGTATTTTCCCAAGACAAGCATATTTTCTTTCAAATGTTTTTAACATTTATATTAGCTCATTATCCACTTCATACATTTAATTTTAGCTTGATAATAGTTCAGAATTTAAATATCTCATGCCTTTTTAATAATTAGTATGCATAATAAACATTGCAATAGACTCTTTGCACAAAAAGTACCGGAAAACCTGTACATCTATAAGCATTGGCTCGGGAGTAACTTGCATTAGTGTTAATATATAGGTATAAATAGGAATTTGTTTTGCTTATTAGAGTTTTTAAAGCCAGTTGTAATAGCAGTCCTTTTTCTTGATTTCCGTGAGTAAATCACCTCAGTATTTGGAGAAAGGTGTGCAGCATTACACAAATTATGTGATCTGAAATAAGGCATTTAATTCTTATCCTAATTTTGGGCTATTTTATTTCTATTATTATAGTATTATAAGAGTATTATAACACTCTTTAGAGATACTTTTCATGTATCATTTAATTGAACAGACTAGTAGACATCTAAAATAAACACTTCCAAATAGAATATTTTTGTTTTCTAGAGTAACACTGGCATAAAGCCTCATTATCTGCTTAAGTAATCAGGTTGCTTTGACAGAGCTACTAAACCTTACTTTGATATGACTAAAGGACTAATGCCTGATTGCTCTTTCATTAAGTTTGAAAGCCAAGATAAACAGAAGTTTCATCTTAGGCATTTTTTACCATGTGGCTTAAAGATCTCCCCACAGCCGCTTAGCAAGCAGTGAAATAGAAGGTCTGGAAGTGAAACTAAAATAAATGGTCCCCATTACAGTGAGAAATCATCGAATAACCCCAATCAAAACTTATGGTATTAAAATATTTATTAGAATGTCACAGGTGTCTTGATTTTAGTTTTACTGTCATTTCATTTTTAGTTATTGTATATAAAGCAGAAAACCGACATAAGGTTATAATTTGTGTGGTGAATCTCCCCTAACCATCCCCTCAAACAATCTCGTCTCCGACAGGCTTAAAGGACAGAGATGGCGGTGTGTGCACTGACCATGTTGGAGGGGATGGAAAACGAAGTGGTGGCCGCAGGCGGCGCACTGCTTCTGGCCCTGGCCCTCATCATGGCCTGGCTTTCAACCCATGTGGCAGATCGGGGAGACCACATACTGGGCACCATCCTCACTGTGGGCGCCCATGCCTCTTTGATAGGCCTGGGAGCCCATGATAACTATAGCGGAGGGCCTAATGGTGCTGACGCTCCTGAGCAGCAGGCTGCTCAACCTTCACAGGAGAACAAGCCGGATGATGGTGAGCCTTCAAATGACAGAGGAGAGGGTGACGGGGAGGGAACCGAGGACATCTGGACTGACCTGCGGCTGGACATACAGAGCAAACAACCTCAGGTGGGGATGTTGCATTCTTCTGATGGCGAGGAGGATGAGGAGAATGAGGATGAAGAAGATGAGCTGAGAATGGCAGAACAGCAGCCTTTGAAGGCTGTTGAGAGTTTGAGCACCATGGTCCACTGTGCTTCCACTTCCATCTCCGTCCGGCTAAAGTTTTTGAATGACACAGAGGAGGTCGCTGTTGTAGAGCCAGAAGATACAGTGGGAATACTAACAAGGTTTGTAGATCAAAAATATTTAAAAACCTTAAGCTTAGAAAGCAAAGAGGCTGGTAAACATTTAGCTTGGGAATTCTCCCAAAGCTAAAAAACAAAAAGCCACTCTTCAGGTTTTGCATCATTGTTTAAAGCTGACAACACAAATATCTCAAAACTACGGTAAACCAGGTTTCTGTAGCAGGCCTACAGGCAGAAACAAATGTTAAAATGGTTTTACCTTGTTTAGTTAAGATCCTTTTAGTTGGGTACAAAAAGCTCATTCTGGATGGTATTACCTCTACTGTGACCAAATCATAACATTTAAGCATATCTAAAGCAGAATTAATCCTTTAACATATCTTTTATCTAATTTCTCTTCCTTTTTCAGCAAATGTTTTTCAGGACGAGAGCATCAGGTTAAGTTGATCTACCGAGGCCAGCTGCTGCAGGATCCTAAGAAAACGCTTTTTTCTTTAAACATCACAAACAACAGCGTGATCCACTGCCACATCTCCCAGGCCATGCAGGGACCCAACCCAGAGGAAGGGGCTCAACCCGGAGCAGGAACTGGAGTTGGACCAGGGGGTCCTGGAGGATTCAGGGCTGCCAGCGTGGCCATAAACACCAGTAGCCTGGTGGTGCCTGTGTTTGTGGTGATCCTGGCTGTTGTCTGGTACTTCCGCATCAACTACAGGCAGTTCTTCACCGCCCCTGCGACCATCTCCCTGGTTGGAGTCACTGTGTTTTTTAGCTTTCTGATATTTGGAATGCACAGCCGCTGAGGACACAGAGACATGGCTCAGTGATGCAGATCGATATAAAGAAAAATATAACTGCAGTAGTCGGATGGTAACCAGAAGAGATGGACTCATTAAATAAAAAAAACAAAGTGGCTCAATGCCACTGCTGCAGCTGCTTATTGCGTGTGTCTAAGCACATCCAGAGAAAAGGTGAATACGGTTCAAGCTCAGATCAAGAGAATTTAGCACCTAAGTGGTCACAATCACCTTAAAACACTTTAGCTTTATCCTGTTTTTGTTTGATACTGGAAGATTTATGGATCTATCTTGTCTTACTCCTATAAATTGTTTTAGGAAAAAGTAAAGTTGACTTATGTTGATAGAATGTAAAAGGCTTTCTGTGGATGAACACAATCTGTACAACTTTCAAGACATTTTTTGTTGCTTCATATCAACACCTTAAAGTTCTGTAAAACAAAGTCATTGCAAGAGAGGCTGTACATAGGTTGTATTTTCTGTATATAAAATAGAATCCATCTGATGAATCTACATCTGGCACTTACAGAGCGGCAGTGGGACATTCCTCCTGATTAAAACTGGACCTGTCTTGTTTCAGCTTTATCTAGAATAAAAAAAAAAAATTCCAGCCAAGTCGGTTTCATTCGTCTGTTGCTGCAATAAACATTTATTCACAAACACATCATGGCATTAAAGAAAAGCCTTACATTTCAACACATGCTCTCCTTTGTGCTTGTTAGAGGTCAGTCAATGTTGCATTTTCAGTCAATGCAAAACAGCTGTTATCTTTATTCACATAATTACTTTGTTACAACATAATGTTGACAGTGCACATAATGAGCTGTAACTGGTTTGGGTTTATGAAGGGAAAAACCAATGTTACAGCAAAATGTGTGCAAAACAAGTTAAGCTTTTCCCTGAAAACGTAATGAGGCATCCGCTGATTGGCATCTGCACCATATCCACTTCTGATCAAGCTTACAGGCACTCATAAGGACACATTTTAGGCCTTTAATGATGCAACTGAAACAAATTTTAGGTATTGAAAGTTGACATTTCTTCATAAAACTTGTCACAATTTGTTTTTTTGTATGAACATTTTAAAGAAAAGTTTACAAATTTTCAACTCCCTTCTAAGCAGTTTTAATTTGGTACCAACCATCTGAATAAAACTAACCTTTAAATAAAAGGATGAAAAGAAGCTTGCATGCCCCACTGAAGTTAAAGCCTGTCAGGAACTTAGGGTACGGATAAATAACCCCACCCCTGCTTTAAAATAAACCCCTTCAAGCTCTACTGACAACCTGTGGCACAAACAAGCTAACTTCTTTCATGAGAAGTTTATAGTCTAAGAAAAAAAAAAATGTTAGGCCACAGTTTAGGAAGAATGTTTGGAGACAGTTAAACCTAAGAACCCTGCAGCAGTTCTCATTCATGGTGACGGTGGTATAATGCTGAGGGTTTGATATGCAGCCAGTGGTATGGGTGTGTCTCAAAGTGTTGAGTATAATCTAATGGGAGGAATTTTTTAAAGCATAATGTTACCAAAAACTTCTCACGAAAGGCTACCAGGAAGCTTTTAGAACACTCTGGTAAAAGCCCCTGACCTAATCCGCTTCCATATGAGTGGTTAACGCTTAAAGGTTGCGTCTGTGCTTTAGAAACAACCAGTTTACATGAACTATACCCATTTAGATACATAAAGAATGGGTAAATATCCAAAGTTAAACCTTGTATAATCAGTCTATTCAAAGAAAGTGCAGAATTAATAACCCAAGTACGCATAATAATCACATCTAATTGGAATTGCTATATATTAAGCTCATAAAAACATTAAAAACCAGCTCCACAATAATTGAGTTTTTGGTCCGACTATCAGTAAAAAACAAAAAGTCAAATGCCTCACCTCTTCTTGTTGATTTAAAGCTTTTTTTTCTCCATTAAACTGTAGCAAGATTACTTCTAAGGATGTACAGTCACAAAATGAAGACCCGTCACTCTTACTGCAGCATTGATATTTATCACTTGTAAGCAGAAAGTGCCCTCCGAAAATAAAAGCATACAAAATACACTGGATTAAGAGTTCATTTAAGCTACTTTATGTTATTTACATGTGCCATCAAAGCCCAACGGCCCCAAATCTCCACAATCACACAAATGATATAGAAACCCTAGTATACAGGATTCACAAGTTAAACTCACATAATGTAAACAAAGGTAAATATTTAAAATGGCCAAAGTCCTTTCACAAATTATTGATTTCAATGAATTTGCTAAACGACCACACACAGCAAAGTGACATTCACACTGAATGCAAATCAGCCCTCAGACACACAAACACAATTGTGCAACACAATGCCAGCATTAAGCCACAGATGAGTCATGAGCGTTTCCTAACAGCCTGTTTGGAGCAGGATAAAAGGATGGAAGTCACCACAAAACAACAGATGAGAGAGAACTAAAGATGGCAGGAAGCTGAATGAGAGGTTTTCATGCTGTTACACCTGGATTCACAAAAAGCTAAATACAGTTTTTTTATTTTGTTTCTTCACGCCGATTATTTTTTTTTCTTACCAAACCATTTAAATCTGGCAAAGCTGCTGTTTGAAACAATTAAAAAACAACAACATGAAATTAAAGTGGACATATCACTGACCATAAAAATGAAAAAGTCAAAACTTTTCCTGCTTTGATGTGACATTTATCGCCTATTTAATGCATACAACTGATCTCCAACTAAAGGGCTCTGTGGTACAGGAGCAAAACGAAGCATCACCACAACCGAAGGTAATACATAATGACGGCTGCGTCATGATCTGGCATTAGTTTCTATTAAATTGGGTCTTTGTCAAAAGGTGTCAAAAGATAGAAAGCTGAAAAGGAGTTTCAATTGCCAAACCAAATTAAAAGGTGCTTTAACTAAGTAAATGTTCAAACCGATGGCGTCGGTTCATTGCTGCTTTTCTGGTTTTTACATTTCCCCCTTAGAACTACGCAGCACAATCCTGCGGTGCGCAATCATCTGAATCAGGACAGCAGAGAAGGAAAGTAGCCCCCCCAAGTACCGGGACTCAGAGCCACTGCCTTAAAAGACGTACTTTTCTATTAAATTACATATTTGTCACATTAAAGGTGAAATAAAGCTTTGAAATGTCATAACATACAGTATAGCATTTTTGTCAAAGTGTGTATACTTTAAATATGTGGATAAATGTTTGATAACTCCTACATCTCTCTGTAATAGACCATTTCCACTACATAAGACTCGGTTCCCACTTTTATCTTTTAACAGGTTGTACATTGTCATCATTGGATGAAGTCTTTTGTTCTACTTAATTGTGTAAAAATATGAAAATTAATTTTAAAGTTCTGTTCTTGTTTCCCCCGTTCTTAGTAAGGAAATTAAAGAATAAAATCAAAGGATCATAAAGCCCCCTGAGATTAATCCTTCACTCACAAAAAGTCCAACTAATTTTGCAGATCTAAGCTTCTCATACACTAAAGTGGAGTTATGCAATTAAATGCCTCAAGATAATAGAACTGATGCTAGATGAGTGTTTCTGATGAGAAGGAATCCTACTTTTAAAGATGAGTATGTCCTAAACTGCATGAAAAGGGTCCTTAGTTTAATTGATCATAGATGCTTGGAACCAAAGGTGCTGCTGTTTTGGGCTTCTTTTTTTTGGTCGATAAGCTGATATTACTCTGAAAGCTGGAGCTGCCGACTCCAGTCAGATTCACACCTCCCCCTCCGCTGTTCATGCTCAGGGCTGACTTCTTCTTCTTCTTGGGCCTCCTGGAATCCGAATGGTTGGTGCCTGTGAGATAAAGAGGTGTGTATGTTAATTAGACAATCATCCGCATTGTCATAAAAGTGACTAACAGAGTGGACCCTTTCTTACTGGCTTTTGATGAGGCGGAGTCAGAAGGGGAGATGTCGGGGGAGTCCTCCCACTGCATGCGGCTCAGTAGGGCCTGTCCATCAGTAGGAACGTCGAAGCAGTCACCTCCCACGTCAGCATCAGGAAGTGTCAGCCTGTTAGAAAAAAAACCAAAGCGCTGAATTTTGGTTCTTTTATTCAGTTTGTTTTAGAATTGATTTAAGAAAAACTATGTTTAATCGTTAAACCAAACAAAACTTTTTCCACATCGTTGGAAACTTAAGGAATATTATAGATGAAATTTTTAATGATAATCAGTCATAACACTGTTCAACGGGAGTTTTAGAAAAAATGATGTAACATTTTAAACAATAGGATTAAAATTGTTTATTAGGCTATACTTTTTTGGATGCTCAAAGGTGTACTTTACGCCTTAGATATTATATTTAAAGTTAGATGGATTAAATTAGGTTTGGCTCTGGTTACATTTGCTCAAAAAGGAAAAGGTTGGCAAAAAACCAACTAAAATAATAAACTAAAGCCTACAGTGTTTTAAAAGTATTTATGCTCTGGTAGATTCCTCCTTTATAGCTCAAATTTGTCCAATTCTGATTATATTGATTTTAATATCAAAGACAAGCTCATTTAGTATATTTAAATTATGGTTTTATTTACTAAAAGGTAATAAACCAGCCCAAGTCAACCTGGTCATGGTAGAAAATAGACTGCCAATCTTGTTAAAAACAATTGCATTGAATTGATTGAGTGTCATTATTGTTTCTCAGATCCTCTAACTGTAGAATGAGTAAATCCCAAGTAGGAGGAGCTTTATCTAAACACACTGTGGCCTGTCCTGTCTCTCTTTTATCAACAAAGCCAGACCAATTGTTTGTTCTCCCCTGTAGCTGATTGGCTGGCAGGAGTTTAAATGGGATAAGCTCCACCCACCAGGCGAACAAGAAGTCCAGACAAGCATCTGGCTGTTGGTGTCACTCGTAGCCTCACTCCCACTCCTGTGTTGGATTTTCCCATTTTTGGTTGTAGGCTGAATCAGCCAGAATCAGACTGGTTTGTGACCTCTCCCACTCTTTTAACTCTAGATAGCTATCATTGCCTCCTAAAGTGGCAGAGCCAGTTATTAGGTTGAGTTGGAGAGAACATTTTACCCTTAAGATTAGCTTGGTTTATAAAGCTTTCCCTTAAATACTTAAAACCATCATTTGCACACAGCTTTTTTCTTTTTACTCAGGTCTGAAAACTTCAATACGGCGGAAATGGTTTGCATTCATTCAAATGTTCAATCAAATAATGACTTGACCAGCTTCCTAAAACTAAACAGTCAACCCTTTAATGGCAAATATATATATATATATATATATACTTGTAGATCGATGTAAATATTCTAATGGTCAATGTCTCATTTCAACTCAAAACCAAGAAAAGAGCTTCTAAGATAGTCATCAGGTTGCATCTTTAACCCCCCGACTCATGAGGGACTACAGGACTAAAACTCCAACAGGTTTCCTTCTGAGCACACTTTGATTTGAGTGAGGAAGGGGGCGGGGCACACTCACGCGGACGGCCCCAGGAGGTACAGCCTGATTGCCCTCCTCTGATCATCTGTGTGCTGTGGACATCGGTGAGACCTGGAGGAACACAAGGTGGCATTACACAACCCTAACTGACGGCCCGCCCAGACCGATCCATCACCCTGTGTGCTTTTCCTTTTTCATTACGTCCCCCCCCCCTCTTCCCACTAAGAATGAGATCAACCAAGGTTTCCCATGGATTACCTTGTGCACATCTTCTTGGTGTGCTCAGAGATCACCCCACATTGCTGCAGAAAAACGTCACTTTAATTAACCATCAACATTTAACAAACACACAGACTCTTGTGGTGCGTTCAGACCGCACGCGGTGGAGGCGGTGATTTTCAATAGCCCAGCAAGTAGCTCACCGCTCTGCGTTTCAGATTCACATTGTTTATACCCAGTGTCGCATCATCAAATAGGAGGAGCTACAGCTGCGTGAAGCTTAAAAATGAAAAAGATAAGAAATAAATGAAAAAATTATCAAATGTGCTGCTGTTGTTTCAGAGATATTTAAGATTTTTTTTATGTCACCCAGAGGTTAAGCTCCAAACTGAATCAAGGTTTTCCAGCCTACTTTTTCAGTGCTACTTCATTTGTGCAGGTACAACTGTTGTTCGTGCTGATTTGGTTTTTAAGATAAAATGACTTTTAATTACAATCGATGACGTCACCTTCCCAGCAGATGTTAGTGCTGCACTCATTCCCTGATATAAATATATTGCATAACATAACACTTCATTCCTGTGATGGCATTGAAAATAACAGTGGGCATGTTTACCATATTTAGTGGCTGGAATAATTTTTTAATATTTAATAAATCACCAGCCTCCCAGACTTTTAGTTTTGTATCTGCTGTTGCCCTTCCATGTCATTTCCTGTCAAGGTCTTGCTGTCTGTCAGCATTTCACAATAAAAGCACAGGTGTAAGTCCTAAAAGTTCCTAAAAGTTCATCCAGATGCAGCTCTGTTTCGGTCAGATTCAGAGGGACTATCTTGTAAATCTAGTCCTGAAGAAAGCACCGATGCTGGGTGGTGTGCAGTGACAGACCGGGCTCTGTACTGGAGGTTAAGTGAGGACGATTAACAGTCTCTCTAGAACTAAATTAAAGTGGCTTTTTTTTTTAAAGCTACCTAAAGACCTCTTGATCGCATTCCTTGTCTCTACCTTTGTTAATATTGTATATATATATATGTATTTCATTTTAAGTAAACAGCTTCGCCTAAAACAAGTCTCTGATTGGCTGTCGCGATTTCATAGAAATGTTGAGCTCGTTTAAACTTCAGCGATCATTTCTCTCAATGTGGTGCTGCTGTTTGACACCTCAGCTCTATTTAATAGCATGAGGTGAGAGCGGAGCAGTGAACGCTCTCACTCCGTGGAGTTCACTGCTCTCTGCCTCCTCAAAAGGTATGTTTGGGAATTTTGTAAATCCACCGCGTTTTCCACACCCACCGCCTCCGGTGTGAACGCACAACTCAAATAAATGCATGATTTTATGAGGGTTGCTCACGGTTGTCAACAGCAATCTGACTTCATTTGGGCCCAAGCTTTCATAACTGACGCCAGTGTTGTAGTTGTACGGCTGTGAAAGATAAAACAGTAATCAGCACTAAAAATCAAACACTTTGGTAGAAAAAAAAAGAATTAAAAAAATAATAATAATTGAAGATTTGTTACCTTGTAGGGATCTGAACTGATGCTTGTCCCAAGCTCACCTGAAAATAAATTATTTCACAATTCATCTACATGTTTAGGTTTTAAAAATGGGTCCCTGTTTTTATTTAAATAAGATGTAGCCTCTGTATCTATTCCTCTAAGCTAACTGTGTATAAACAAATTAGTGCAATACCAAAAAAAAAGGTTCTAGTATTTGTCAGATAATCGTTAAAATCTAAATTAAACGTTAAATGTGAAATAAGTTGTTTAAGAATCCAAGTTTCCAACCATTACGAACTAGTTTGACTAACCACGCGTCAGCATGAGAGAGACGTTAAACTGCTTATCTTCTAATCTTTTTGTGGTCGACAAGGAATACAAACCTATATTGAGCTCAGCTTCCTGTGACTGAGAAAAAATGTTCATACAGAACATCCTGATAACAGTAAGAGGGGTTAAAGATTACTGTTTCAACCTACCGTTCTTGTGTTTCAGAGATTTGGATCTTCTTGGGGAGTTCTGATTCTGCACAAGGAAAATGTTGTGATTAAAACTCACCCATGCAAACGAAAAAAATATCCAAGTGCTTTAACTCTGTGTGGAAGCAGTAAAAGAAAATGACCTTATCTGATCTTCTTTTCTTAGCTGCAAAAGATGCATTAGAAACATTTTTAGTATGTAAAACACAGCATCAACTGAATTCAAAGTTTTTTTTTTTTTTTTTTTAGGTTCTCACATTTCTTTTCAGCTCCATATGACCAGTCATTGTCGTTAAGGTCATCATTGTCTTCCTGATCGCTCTCAGATTTGCTGATGTTGTTATTGCTAGCAAGCCTTTAAAAACCAGACAAACAAGATAAGTTCAGCGTTTCAAATGAAACTTAAATCAGTTCCACTAACCATAACTAACTGACCTGCGGTTGGCGATGCGACTGCTGTTGCGTCCCATTCCCAGACACTTTTCCAGGTGCGGAGCAAAGCGGGAAGCTGCTATTAATCTTTTGCAGTTGGGACACTCACACTCTTTATTCTTCCACTGATTAAACACCTGACCAAATATGTCCACTCCTGGCTGATCCACAATCTCTGGAGGAGTAAACAGACATAGTGAATGGAAATGGTGAAAGACAAAGTACTGAAAGGAAAAAAAAGCCCGACAGGCACCGACCAAACTCCTTTATGCTATCTTGGTCCGTTTCATCCAAGAAAAAATAGCCCTGCTTCACAGCACGATGCACCTCGAAACACAGGCCCAAACAGGCATCTTCCACCAGCTCAGAGTAGATGTCCTGTACCAGAGCCTGTAAAGAAAACACATCACCATGGGCAAACTGGAAAGACAACAGTTAGAAATAAATCAATATCAGCTGTTATCAGTAATCACCTCCAGCCTGGTGTTGTCTGGGCCTGAGAGGGGCTTTTCCTCCATTTTCATTTGAAAATCTGGGATGGACCTCTGGATAGTAAACTGTTAAGATGCTGACCTGGGAACACAGAAGATAAAAATAAAACCATATCGCGGAGATACTACACCATCTTACACTAATAAATCCATACAGACAAAAAAAAAAAAAAAACAGCTGAAGCTTAACTTTAGATACTGCAAGGTTAGAGTAAGGCATTTATCGTATCCTTTATTGTTATAAGTTTCTAGTCATGACACAAACCATAAACTAGAATCAATGTTTAAACATTTTAGAAACTGAGAGAATTATTACATTTTTTTTGCTTAGTTTTATTATTTCATTTATTTCCTCGATACGCTGAACTACGCCGTTACTATGAGATTTTTAAAAATATAAAATCACATATTTTTTTATGTAACCGATGCCCTAAATAAGACACATTTAAATGTTTTTATTATTTAAGAGCATTATTTGTGATTGTGGGGCTATGATGGCTGTAATAAACAGTCACAGCAGTTACCCAAGACACACTCCAAATCGTCAGTTTTGTTTTTATTAATAATATCACCAAATATTGTGATAAAATCTTAAACCTTTTGCATATAGGCCAGCCTGATACAGGATTTTAATATATTTTAACATAAGGGGGTATAAGGAACCCAGCTTTGCCTTATATTTGTTTTTTTTTGGGCAGATGACATTACTATAGGCTGAGTCAGGCTTATAAACCATGATTAATTATTAGTTAGATGTGACATTAGGATCAACCAGACACAGTCTGGCTCAAATGACCCCGCCACTGTCAATAATGATAAATCTGAGGCAAACAAAGTCAATTACAACCCTTCTAACTTGAATTGGTACATATTTTGTTTGACTTTTTTTCCTCGGTTTGGATCCCATGAACCATCAACATTCATACAATCATTAAAATGCGAAAAAACAAACAAAACAAGAACAATAAATCTAACAAATCTTCCTGGTGAACTGATGGGATGTCAGCCCATGATGTGTGCACTAAAAGCTTGTTTTGACAGATTTTGAAGAGTATATATTGGCTCCCAACAAAACAGCAAACAACTGGCAAAGTAAGAAACTATACAAGTCTGTCCAGAACTTAATGTCCCATCAGCAAGTTAAAATGAAATCAGAATATCTACTTTTGAAGTAGATAATAAATCTGACTGCAGATTAAACGTTGATCGATATGCATGTCATTTGACAGGCTGATAAACACTGTCATTCATTCATTCATTAATTAAAGCAGAAGGAAACTGGTGGAAATCTATCCCAACATTATCTTATTAAAATCAGCTGCATAAGAAATCCACTGTACAGTAAATGATTTATTATTTTAAACGCTAAAAGATTTAGCAACGAACCACTTACCTGTATTTTCTAGCATATAGCATTTTAGCTTTATTATATTCTAGTCCTATTAGTCTACTACTATGATTTAAATATGTGATATAAGGATAATTTGAGTAACTTCGCAAAGAGTCATAATTTAAACAGAAGCTGTTTCCTTCCTTCTTCATACCAAAAAAAAAAAAAAAAAAAAGAAAAAAACTCTGCCGAAATCCGGCAGTTTACCTGAGGCAGGCAACATCCCCGTTCCGTTCACACAACTAAATAAAATAACTGCTCTTAGGCTGGCGCCATCTTTGGTGTTGCGGGTCGAGCAGTTTCCGTGTTTAAAAGGAAAACTGAGGCAGGTGTCAGCAAGATAAACTAAGACGTTAGAGAACCAGTTTCACCGAAGAGGCCAACAGAAAAAACCCCTCAGAGAAACAGGAAGCGGTATATGGCCCTCACCGATCAACTTCCGGTTTGAACTTTTAGAAATAAGAGTTTCTTATTCATAAAACTGACGGATTTTTATTTTTAAAAGTATTTTAAAAATGCTCTGTATAATTGTTCAGTATTAACCTGTAAATATGCAGCCCTATCCAAATTAAAAGTATTTCATGCAGCTGCATATTCATTTTATTTTTTTAAATAAATTTTTAGAGTTGGTAGGTACGGAAGAGGATTAGGGCCACTGGAAAGTTAACTGATATTTAAATTTTATTTCAGTTTAATATGGGAAAAAAGTCAGAATTCTGAGAAAATGAAAGAATTCTGAGATTAAAGTCAAAATTCTGACTTTTTTCCCATATTAAACTGAAATACAATTTAAAAATCAATAAACTTTTCTTTTTTTTTTGTCAGTGGCCCTAATACTCTTCCGAATGTAGGGAAGCTCCATTTTTTTCAGATAAAACAAATTTTAGGATGCACTTTTTGTTTTCTTCTAATTGCATCTGGTAAATTAGGTCCTGCAAGAGTAAAACAAACACAGAGATGATTTTTAAAAGTTAAAACTAATATTTTCTTTATGATCTTGTCTGATTCGTCTCTTAACATAACAGAGTACAAATTGGTGGTATATTAATAATGGAAAGATGTAATTGAAAGGTGTTTGCTAATGTATAATCTAAATTACTGAGACAATACAGCTGGTACAGTCACAGGTATTGAGAGTATCTGGCTCAGGTTCTGGCACAGTTTTGGAAACATCTTGTAGACCTCTGTAACACAGCTGAGACGATAAAATTCTGCACATATTCCAAAGAGAAAATTATAACCAAATATATAGGGGAGGGTTAATCACCTGAAAGGTAACAGAACTTTATCTGGGAAACTGTTCACTATGATTTGATTATAGTAAGATAAACATTTACTGCAACACTGATATGGTTCCTTTAGTCCAGCCTAAAAGATAAATTGTTGATCAGTAAAAAAAATTTTTGCTAAAATAATATATGCTCCACCCAGTCAGTAAGACAATAAGATAATTGTCTTTATTCGCCCAAATACTTGAACTACAAGGACATAAGAACATCCTCCTCTATAGAAAACATCAAATCCTGTCAAATGATCAGCAGTACAAACTTGTAAAGCTTCTGTCTTACAGATCTCTAGAAACCAACATAGGGGAAGAGAGAAAAACAAGTAAAACTGGTGACCTTGAACTAAAAACTCTTCTCCGTGAGCGGAAGACTCACTGGCCCTTGAAGTCAGAGGAGGGTTTGCAAAATCAAAATACTAATTAAACAAAACACACTCAATACAAAAAAAAAAAAAAAAACAGTATTTACAGAAAAATTACATTTTTTTTTTACTCCAACTCTTCAGGTAACCCATATTCCAGCAACTCCCTTTTGACTCAGTCACTCTTCCTTCCCAGGTATTTAAATGGCCGACGTTGGTTTTTGTTTTACTCAATGGGACAGTCCAAATATTCCATCACATACCAATCAATCAGAATAAAGATGGAAGTTTTGCCATTAATCCATAATTAGGTGAATAATGACACAATGGGGGTGGGGAGCAAGGAAATCCAAAAACTAAACAGTATGTACATTCATGGTGTTGCTATGATGCCCCCAAGCAGGCACGAATATGCACGCTGTATTCACAGCTCTGTTTGCAAGAAAACAGCTAGACATTAAAGCAAAGAGAAACGCACACGTCGTTTTATATACACAGCAATGTGCATGCGTGCACACATCATCAGGAGGAGAACATTTACATTAAGTGCACACTTTCTGGGAGGGGGGCATCAGACAATAACCAAACACATGGCAGCCATTAAGAAAAAAAAAATTAAAAAGAGTTTAAAAGTTGAAACAATTGCGGTCCTCAGCAGAACAATGATGCTCTCAAAAACCTGTAAGTAATACACCAAATTAAGTATCGGTATATTGCCTTGAAAATGCTAGAAATGAACGGCTGCACCGTTAACAAAATTCCTCCTTTTGAGGTTCAGATTAACGGCTGAAAAAACAGCTTCAACCAGAGTGAGACTTTGCTTTTAGTGACAAACTCAAAGCCTCTGATTTTACCAAATATATACAAATGCAAGGAAAGAAAACTTTCTTTTTTTAACCTTGGGATTTAGTTAATCACATAACTGTATATATTCCATCACAAAAAATGGGACAAAGTGTGTAGGAAATGTCAGCAAATTACAATGAGAAAAAAACCATAACCTTTACTTCAGAGTAACAATTTTCAGATGTTTCCCTTTTCCTGTGACTCCTATGGTCCGATGCTTCCGTAAAAACTGACTGTAACAGCGGTAAAATTCCAGTATTTGTTATGCCAAAGCTAAGTGGGTTTACCTGATATTGCATGAGTTTTATTTCTACTGAAGTGGAGGAACAGATTTTTTTAGCCCCCTTAGATTTAGATTTAACATCTTTATTTGCATCAAGTTTTCAGTATTTGCGGAACAGTTTCATGCTGTAAAGCCAATTGAGATTTTCCTATGATGTAAATTATCTCAGATGCTATGTTTTGTTCAAATGTAAATAAAATATTTTTCCCCCAGTATATGACCTCTCCTTTAGATTGTTTTTATTACCTTTCGTGAAACGAAGAGTTTGGCTTTAAATTGCAACCCAATTGTCGAACTAGCCACATTCGCTGTGAAATGATGAAGATACGTTAAATCTACTGAACATCAATGAAGAATGGGGCTAAATTAAGACATTAAAAGCGACCAACAGACATTCAGAATGGCTTAATCTGTTTTTCTCGAGAAATAAGATATATATATATATATATAAAAAAAAAAAAAATACCACCCTTTGTAAGAACCAAATCCAAACCACCAACGCCGACTGAAAATACAGGACAAAGCAACAACGGCCTGTGGAACAAAATGAAAGGAGACATTCTAAAGAGTGCAATTTTTTCAGTGCCCTGCACACGCCCCCCCCCTGCCTCCTGAAGTGTGATCTTTGGCTCTGAAGCCTGCTCACAACTTCCTTATCAGAAAAATAAAAAAAAACACTGGAGGGAAACTGATTAACCTGACACATTTACGAATTCACCACAGAGCTTGTAAATGGAAAAACAAAATTAGAGAAAAAACGTCCATGACATCACCAAACCAGTGGGATGCTGTTTTTGGTATAACGTCAGCTGTGGGCAACCGTCACACACAGGAGGGAATCGGACTGATTTCAGGGCCGGGTTTCCTTTTTCAGTACTTTTGCTGTTTTGATTTTTCTTTTAAAGCACAGCAGCAACATGAATTGGTTTTGGGATGGATGAAGCGATGCGGGAGAGGAGGGCGGGGTTGGCACAGTGGCAGAGCTCCCTGGACTCTTGGCTCAGCTCAGCGCTGCTTAGTTCGCCTCTGGAGGGCTTCGGCCGTTTCAGTCCGAGTCCGACTCTGAGGATTCCCCCGAGTTGGACTCGCTGCTGCTTTCGTCATCCGATTTGTTTTCTTTGTCTTCAACCTCGTCATCCTCCTCTTCTTCGTCATCCTCGTCGTTCTTTAAAACACAAATAAATTGTTATTATTCCTGCGTTTTTTTCTTCTTCTTCAAAACTCTCAAATGACAATGATCGTCACTCACATCATCATCGTCGTCGTCATCATCGTCGTCGTCATCATCATCGTCCTCCTCACTGGATGAGTCTGCATCAGAGGAGGCCTTCTCCTGCTCGTCATCATCTTCCTCATCATCGTCTTCCTCCTCAGTGTCCTGTCAGAAAGCAGGTTATCAGAAAGGAGAACAGAAAAACCCCTTAGATCTTTATTAAACCAACAGGCTCCAGTACTCACAGATTTCTTCAGCTTCGCCTTGGTCGCCCCTGCTTTTGCTGGATTTCTTCTTTTCTGTGAAACAAATAAAAACAATTAAAGGTCTCAGCTGATCAAAGACAGCGAGAAGCGGCACACTTGAACAAACAGACTGCGCTATGGAAGCAGCTTAAAGACCAACCTGTGAATTGTACTCTCTGTAAATATTTCGCTCTTGCGTAGACAAGCTCTGTTGGAGGATCAAAATAAAAAAACAATTAGGAAAACAAACTTAGTTTAATTCCTTTATGTTTAATTTTGAACAGCTCCTTACAGCCAGCCACTGCTCCAGGAGGACCTTGTACTGCCTCTGCTTCTCCTCTGCGATCTTCTTGTAACATTCCTTGTCCTTCAGCGGCAACCTCTGCCACCGGCTGCCGATCTCAGCCATCCGCTCCTTCATTGGGAGATGATTCAGCTCCCCGTTGGACAGCATCTCCTGGGAGAACTTCTGGTATCCATTTCTAGCAAAAAAAAAAACAACAGGGTGATTTTTTTTTTTTATTATTAAGATTTTAAAAACACTTATGAAGTTGTAAAGTGTTATGTCATAAACTTACGATGGAGGCTTCTTGGGTTCCCCTTCAAACTTCATCTTCTTCATAGGAGCAACAACATTAGCAGGGGATCGCATCTCACACAGGTCCCTCTGTCAAAGACAGAAGGTTGACTTACAGATCAAATCTCACCAATTAACCATATGATTGTATGTTTAAGGAAAATTGTGCAGCCTTAAGGAATACGGTCTAGGGTTACACCTGGCTGTAAAAACTTTTCTGTGGGAATGATATTGTATCTTACTTCATATCTTTTCTGGTCTTCTGCAGCCTTCTTGATCCACATAATCTTCTCCTTCTTCTCCATGGTGCTCCACGCCGTTTCCATTGCTTTATGCGCTTTCGGTCGATCATTCTGAAAATAAAAAGAGTCCCTCTAAGTAAGAGCAGAGCCACTAGAATGCTGCATCTGTGAAGCCATGAGTGACACCGACCTTAAATCTAGCAAGGTAATCCCCGATAACACTCTGTTGCCAGATTTCTTGGGCTGTTTTGGGCGGATCCGGCAGACGACTCCTATCCTCCCTTTCCTTCTTCTCAGACTCAGCTTTCAGAAGAGCCTCCACGCGTTTGTACTTCTCCTGAATCATTGAGACAACAAGACGAG